GACCCTTGGTATTAATATGGTGTCTAGCTTATGTGTGTCTCTGTCATCCCTCCCTCCCTCCCTGGTGAGGACCTGATACAGGTTCTGCTGGAGTTCATCAATCACTGCTGTTTCAGCTTCACCTGGAGTAGAGCCAGCTCCAAGGGAGATGGTGCCTCCATTTCCCCTTTCCTGGCCAACCAGGGGTTCTGAAGACACAGAACTTACAAAGGCCATGGTGACCAACTAGAAGGATCTGTAGGGTGGGGTCTCGCAAGAAACCATCTCTAAAATGCTAGTGACAGTACAGCATGCTGTCTTCAACCCTTAATGCCACCCCCACCTTTTCATCCCTTCCTGGGACCCTATGCTTGGGAGTGCTTTATGGCCATACTCGGAGATTTAGAAGGGAAAATTCTCTAATATTCTAAGCCAGGTCATTGAATTCAGCAATATCCTCGTCTTACGGGGTGAGATGACTACCTATGTGGACACAGCAAAAGTCAAACTAGCAGGCCAGGGTGGCTCATGTCCAATAAATAGCTCACTCTGGTTTTGTTCCCACCGTTTCACAACATTGACTATGAAGGTAGAAGAGAAGGTATAAGAGCAGTGTATCCACTTGACCCACTCAGTAAAACTAGAAAATGCCAGTGTCTACCTTTGATAGCAGATGCTACTTTTGAGTAGACTTGCAGGACAGTCTTGTGAAGGTCAACTTTCTGGGTTTAATAGCAGACAGGAGTGGTGGAAACTCTAAGCTTGGATTGGCCACTGCAGCAGCATGCAGAGCAGAATTCTCAAGCTGGCAGGCTGTGTATGTTATGTTAAAGGACCAGGGCCTGGTCTGTCATCTTTCTGTAGTTTCCTTTACAGATCAGAGAACTCATCTACTCCCTACTTTTAAAAATTTTAGGCCACTCTTGCTGTACCTTGGGGAAACAAGTATCACACCATGTTGTGTCACCAGTGGTGTGGTTGCCTAAGGCAGGGAGGACCTGTCCAGTCCTCACAGATCCGTGTTCCTGCCTGGTCTGGGGAGTGTCCCACTGTCGGACTCCTCCTCAGCAGCAGGGCCAGCCTGGGGCTTACATGTCAAGCCTGAGCAAGCGTGGAGGACACAGCTGAGGCTTCCTCCTCCAATTGGGACCAGAGCACATGTTTACAACCAGCACTTTCTGCACACGTTCTCTTCAATCCACTGAGGCCATACCAGAAGCGTCTAGGTGGCTCCTGCATCCTGTCCTCCCTGTAACAGGCCGCAGTCTCTTCAGGACCCTATTCTACACCAGACCTGCTTGGCACTGCAGGGAGCTCTTTACCCTACCCCTCATCCCTGCACAATGACATTCCAGCCAGCACCAGCCAGAAGTTACAACCTGCCTTGCTGATTGTTACAAGCAGGATTTTGAGTACCCTGGCACTGTCCTGAAAGGAAGCCATTTTCTGGACGAGGAAGAAGGTTCTCTCCACAGATCTGTGTGGGCCTGTGTAAACACTCCAGAGGAGTACCAGCCCTCTTCATAGCCAGCGGGCTACTGAAAAATGCTTAAACATTTCAGTTCTGGTTTCTCTGTTCATATCCAATTCTGGTGCTTAGAAAAGGGACTCATGCTGACAGCCAAGGGCAAGAAGCCCCACTTCCTTTGAGGAAGATAGCAGGCCTGACCCTGATGCCTAAGAAGGGGCAACCCTAGGTTTTTGTTTTTCTTGCTTTTTATTCCTCCTTTTTGTTTTTAACTTTGTGCTGGGTTTGTTTACATGAGATGTTATTTTGTTTAAACAAACATTAAAAATGAAAACATCATAAAAAATTGCAAGTACAACTAAATAATGCTGGAGAGGGGAATCATTGGGGTGGAAGGAGCTCCTAGAAGATAAGGGCATAAGTGATAACTATGATAAAGCCCGGAAGGACAGGTGGATGGGGAACTCATAGGTCACCTGTAATCCTGGAGCAATTCTCTAATTACCTTTTTGTTTTGTTGTTTTTCTTTCTAAATTGGAAACCTTAGCACATGTGGAATTTTGCACAGGTTTCATAGCGTCACTGGGTCTTATAAATACTCCAATTATGATGTTTTGGGGCATTTTGACCCAAGAATCAGTAATGGCTTGTATCATATCCACAAGACTGTGGTGGTGAATTAGCCACAATCCACCTTAGAAAGTGTAGTGTGAGATGTGATCTGACAATGAATGAGTGGCCCTTCTCAGAAAGCTCTACCTTAGAATAGTGCTTTGCTGTTGTCTTGAAATTATTACTGTTTGAGCAAGGTGCATATTCATTTGCATTAGGCCTCACATCCCATGCTTGAGCTCTTTTTTATCATGTCCACCATTGTCACGAGTGATAGTCTATTTATAAAAGGCTGGCTGTACCTTGACTCAGGCCAGTACAGAGCTGCCAGACAGCCAACTGACGTCAGTAAGCCCTGCCCTGCTCCCTGGAGGGGTGGGGTAGTGGGCATTGACACAGCACCACCCTCCAACCCAATGGGGGTTTTCCCAGAAAAGGAGGTGATAGTCACATCCATTCTGATGAACAGCAGCCAGCCTTCAGTCCTGATCTGATGTTGTGGCATTACTGGGAATATTGGAGAAGGTTGGAGAGTACTGCTGGGAAACCTTACACAGGGATCATAAATGTTCTTTTGTTAGCTTTTGGTACTTTTGGCAAGTCTGCACTTCCGGCTCTATGACCTTGCTAGTAGGGGCTTGTCTTGGGCACGTCTGGATGGCGTCAGGGCTCTGCTGGACCTGGGAGCCAAGCTAGAAAATCCCTGATTCTCCTTTCTTACCCTTAGCATGTTGCTAGGAGGGGCTGTTTCTTTGAGGGGGATATCAAACTTAGAAAGATGGACAGTTAGCAAAAGAGAGGAAGGCCCCCAATGAGATGAACTGACAGTGACTGCAGCAGCGAGCTCCAGTGCTTCAGAGATTGTGAGGATGAAACAAGATAGGACATGATTTAGATCTTTTAGTTATAGGGTCATTATGCATCAGTCCTACTCAACTCATAACAACATACCCTTGGCATTCTGTTTGACTTTAACGCTTTCCAGGACAAGTCTGGGAATCTTTTATGGCTTTGTTTAGAGTCCAACAGCGCCACCTCTTGTTTTTCCTTGTGAGTGACCACTGTCTACAGGGTATTGTTAAAATCCAAGGGCTTTGAAAGGATTCCAGTTAGAAGAGGCCCGGCAGAACAAGGGAGGGCAGCTCACATTGTGGTTCGCAGCTGAGCGTTATAACCCTGTGTACACCGTAATCCAGCTGGTACCCTAGTGACCTAACTGGCAGAACTAGTCCACAGTTTTCTGGGCTGTGATATTTACAGAGCAGTTTTAGTGGCGTAGTGGTTAAGCGTCCTGCTCCTCACTCGTTCCCCTCCGCTTACATCACAGCCAGCGGCACAGCGGGCGGGGCTGAGCGGTTCTGCGCCCTAAGAGTTTGAAGCTCTTGGAATCCTCTCCATAGCGCACCGGGACACACAACAACAACAACAACAACAACGATTGTTAGGTGCCCTAGAGTGGAGTACAACTCATTTACCCTACAACAGAACTGAACCTGTCCTGTGCCATCCGCATATCTCCAACACACTTGAGCCCATTGCAGCAGTCGCTGCTTTGTAAGTCCATCTCCTTTGGGGTCCATAGAACCTTTGGATGCGTCGGTTAGCCGCCCAGAGCTTACCGGGGCTTCTCTAAGGCTACCAAAGTTTACTATGCACTTGCAGTACGGAGCATAGCTGCACCACTGCGGGTCCCAGAAACAGATGGTCATGGCGCTAGTAAGCTGTGACAGCCCTTTAGGTGGGAGCGCATACTAATGCCCTAGAGCAGTGTGCAAAAGGTACACAATACATCCATCCCCCTCATTAGTCTATTTGCTAGGTATCAATATTTTGGCAGGAGTGGCATCCACTTCCTAAACAATATGCCTCTGGAAACTCTATGAACTCTAAAAAGAAATTATGATAGTTCTAGAAAAGCTTCAGGTCATCCGTTCATAGGGTCTCTATGAGTCATGCTCCACTTGACCGCAATCAACAACAACAACAACAACAACTCTATTTTCTTTGTAAAGGAATTAGCGGATATGGTTGAAAGTGGCATATTCTCGTCACTTCCTGGTCTCACTAGTGGCATTTGTTCAGTGGCATTTGCTGTCACTGATGATCACCTGTAGCACCTAGCTCACAGGAGCACCCCTCCGACTTCTCTGTGCACACAGAGACTCTCAGATCTCTTGCTGGCCTGTTTCCCCACCTCCACACCTCCACGCAGGCTTCTGTCACCTTGTCATGCTGGGGGAACCATGCTGCCTTCTGGGCTAGATAAGCTCTTCCAAGGGTCTTGGTGTGGGACGAAGGACGGCTCTCTCCGGTCTTCTTTTGGTAAAGTCCAAATCCTCGGAGAATTCCCAGAATCCTCCCGGTTCCGGGTAACTACATGCAAGTTCCACAAGGCCCGGGTCCTCCCCGCCTCCAGCCTCATTCAAGTCCTTTAACTCCAGCCTCTTTACAAGTCTGTCGTAACAAGTCCTTAACCAAGACTAGGAGATTTGGGGCTGGGTGGGGCTGAGTGTTAAGAGAGTACAGGAAACGATCTTTCTGAATTTTTCTCCAGTGGCAGGGGAACTGTATCTGCAGCCGAATGTTGCGGACTGGCTTCCTACCCCCACCCCCTACTCCGTGTTGTGCTCCGCCTGGACCCTCCCTTGCCCTGCGGGGTTTACTCATCTGGGTGGAGAACTCGCTGTGCTAGGGCGGATGCTTGGCGCTGAGAACCTTGTGATCCCAGAATGCAGTCTCGGCCCTTCCCACCAGCACTTCCTTCCTTTCCCGTAACTGCCCGAGAGGGAGGACAGGCACTTAAACGCGGCGCTGCCTGCCTGTCCGAAGCTGACTGGCTGTGCTGAGCTGGGAGCCAGAACCCCACTCTCCATCCCAGCGGCCCCGGGTGGTCTTGGCGTCCGTACTCTCCTGGCCCCGGCCAGGGGCGCCTCTGAGCAGGATGCTCCGCGTCTTGCTTCTAGGTGTGCTAGCTCCTGCTGGCCTGGGGTTCCCTGCGCCCCCGGGGCCGCAACCCCACAACAGCCAGTGCATTGAGCACGACTGCTTCGCGCTCTTCCGGGGCCAAACGGTATTTTATGCTGCCAACCAGACTTGCGAGCGCCTGCAAGGACACCTGATGACCGTCCGCTCTTCAGTGTCTGCTGATGTTATCTCCCTGTTGCTCAGCGGGGATGGTGGAGACGGCTCGTTCCTTTGGATTGGCCTGGAGTTGCCTCCTGGCTGCCATGACCCTAGACTTTTCGGGCCCTTGCGTGGCTTCCAATGGGTTACTGGAGATAATCGCACCAGCTACAGCAGGTGGGCGAAGCCCCACAGTGCTGGGGAGTCCCTCTGCAGCCCTCTGTGCGTAGGGGTTTCTGCGGCCGGGACCACTGCGCCGGGAGAGCTGGTCTGGAAAGAGCAGCCGTGCTCCTCCGTAGCTCAGGGCTTTCTCTGCGAGTTCCACTTCTCAGCCTCCTGTAGGCCCTTGGCGGTGGAGCCTGGAGGTAGAGTGGCCGCCAACATCTCTTACACCTACAGCACCCCCTTCGGCGCCCGCGGCATGGACTTCCAGACGCTGCCGGTGGGCAGTTCTGCTTCCGTGGCCGCCCTTGGTGCGGAGCTGGTGTGCTCAGAGTCTCCTCCTGGGACAGCCGAGGCGCGCTGGGACCGGGTGGCTCCAGGCGCTTGGGACTGCGCGGTGGAAAACGGAGGCTGTGAGCACGAATGTGAAGGGGACGCTGGCCTGCCGCGCTGCCTGTGCCCGGCCGAGAGGGCTCTGCAGGCCGACGGGCGCTCCTGCGAGGCCCACTCTTGCAACAGCCTCTGCGACCACTTCTGTGTCCTCCGGGACAGCGACGCGACGGACGGCGCCTACACGTGTATGTGCGAGACAGGTTTCCAGCTAGCAGCCGATCAGCACACGTGCGAGGACGTGGACGACTGTATGCTGGTGCCCAGTCCGTGCCCGCAGCTCTGCGTCAACAAGCTGGGCGGCTTCGATTGCCATTGCCACCCTGGCTACGAGTTGGTGGACGGTGAATGTGTGGAGCTCCCCGACCCGTGCTTTGGCACTAACTGTGAGTACCAGTGTGAGCAGGTGGGCAGGGATGGCTACCGCTGCGTCTGTGCTGAGGGCTTCGCCCCTAGCCCCAAGGACCCGCACCGGTGTCAGCTGTTCTGCAACCAGACTTCGTGCCCCGCCGACTGTGATCCCCACTTTCCTGAAAGCTGTCATTGCCCCGATGGCTACATCCTAGACGAAGGTTCCGTGTGTGCAGACATTGATGAATGCAGCAACAACGACTGCCCCGGCCTCTGCCGCAACCTCCCAGGTAGCTATGAGTGCATCTGTGGGCCCGACTCTGCCTTTGCTGGCCAGACTGGCACCGACTGTGACTCCTTCAGCGACAAGGACGACGACGTTGGCTCTGGAGAAGGCCCAGCCAGCCCGACGCCCAGCCCCACCACAGAACCTCAGTCCTTGGGGCCTGTGCATTCTGGGGTTCTGATTGGCATCTCCATTGCTAGCTTGTCCCTGCTTGTGGCGCTTTTGGCGCTGCTCTGCCACCTGAGTAAGAAGCAGGGCTCCATGCAAACCGAGCTCGAGTACAAGTGTGCTACCCCCACCAAGGAGGTGATGCTAAAGCGCGTTCGCACAGAGCCCATACTTCAGAAACTCTAAAGGGCACCACGCTTCTGGTTCCTGGGGACTCTGCCACACACTCCTGGTTGAAAAAAGCATCAGAACTAGAGCAGAGCTGCCCTCTTCTTTTGATTCCAGGCAGGGAGGCAGGGGTGGAGGAAGAAGGAGGACTAACTCCACTTTCCTACAAGATGACTCCGGAGAAGACAACTGGACAGAGAGGATTATCTATAATTAAGTCTCTTGCAACCCCCCCCCCACACACACACAAGCAAGTGCTGGTTCTGGGCCCAGGAGTCTGAAGCCTTTTCCACACACCTGTGCCAAGCAAACCAGTGAGTGTATCCAGTGTACAGATCAGGATGAAAATATTTATTTTTTTAAAACTTTGATATTTTTTTCCTCTTTACTTTTTTATGAGTCGTAGGTACTCATTGTATCTCTCTTTCACTTGCCATGTGGTAAACTATGTTGGTGAATTTTCCTCACCCTTCTGGTTTTTGTGAAACCAAACCTCATATTCTCTTTCATTCCTTCCCATTTTCCCTTCTCAAGAGCTGGCCACCTAGCCTAATGATCTACTGAGTGTGTATGTAACCTGGCTCATAAGCTGCTCTGTAAGGCATACAAAACACTAAGAATAAAACTTGTTGAGTATTTGTTTTTCCATCAAATTTTTTCATTTATTTTTGGTTTCTGTAATAATATGACATTAACCAAGGATTATGTGAGAGGCTTTGCTTAAACTGATGTTGCTGAACTGACATAGAAATTAAACCCTAGGGAAGTTTATTTCAGTATTTTTGAACAGTGAGCCTGTATTATTATTATTATTATTATTATTATTAGTTTTGTGTTGTTTTCATGTAAACTTAAAAGTAATCATTGTTAAACTGCCTATGTACTTTTCTTTTCCAATTTTGTTAGTTTTCACAACTATCTGGTGGCTCCAGTTCCAGAGATGAGAAAGCTCCTCCCAGGGAGTGGTTGAAAAACATTTTGAGCTGTTGACTCACTACCATTTGGTCTCTTACTACTCCTCCATTACTCCTAGGCCAAAGGGTGAAAATAACAGCAACTATATGGGTTACAGGAGATCTGGAAGTTGAGATGATGCTCAGTTAGGTCCTCGGCTTGATCAGGCCTTTAAGAATTTCTCACTAACTTGTAGAGGGATCTTTCACCAGTGGTCACTGCTTACTGGGAATGTAGACCCTAAGCAAGACAGCTCCTCTGGGAGTTAGTTAGAACAGTGTAAACTATGTTTACACTGGAGTAAAATTTCAAATACCAAGGTCTTGTCCTGTATTAGATAATTTTCATTTTTGTCTATTTTCAATACTCAGATTTCTTGGCCCTCGTTTTCTGGGATGATAGAACTGACTGAGTGCTTTTGTAGATGCAAAAAGTTAGAAGGAAATTAAGCTCAAATAAATATTCAGATCTTTTTATACCTGTGGATAATTATGACTTTCTCAGTTTGAATTGCTCAGATAAGTAGGATAGGGTGGGAATAGGGTATTAGTGAGGAACAGCTCTACATTCAGTGCTCTATTGGGATAACATGGTGAACAATGTTGCAGTTTAATGGATTGTTGGGGTGGTTTTTAACTGCTGTCTAGTTGAGTAGGACTCATAGTGACACTATGAATAACTGATCTGCCCTATCCTGTGCCCTCAGCATACATGATGGAAGCACTCAATTAGTGAAGACAATGTGATTGTAGATAAATTCCTTTGGAAGCCCTTTGAAGGAGTGTGAGGGAACTCTGGTGGCCTAGTGGTAAGAAGCTGCACTACAATCCTGAAGGCACATGGTTCAAATCTACCAGCTGCTCTAAGGGAGAAGGATGGAAATCTCCTTCTATGTGATTAACTGCCTCTCAAAACACACTGGAGGGTCAACTATGGGTTGGCTTTGACTTGATGGCCACCATCACTACCACCACAACAGGAGAGGGTAACAATATGGACATTTCTCTTCAATGCTCTGTCTTCTATGCTTCAAGAGAGTCTGCAGCAAAATAGATATGTTGTTGTTGTTACATGCCGTTGAGTCGCCTGTGACTCATAGTGACCTTATGTATAACAGCCCTAAGCCCTGCTCTATCCTGTACCAAACTTATTGTCTCTGACACACCTATCCCCATTACCCCAGTCACTGAATCAATCCACCTTATCGAGGGTCTTCCTTTCCTGTGTTGTCCCTCCACACTCCCATCCAGTTTCTGAAAAAGCCAATGGCATAGCTGGATATTTAAGTGAATTACCAAGTGCAAAGAAGAGTGTGCAGAGAAAAGTTTGCCATTGACTTTTGCAGAAGCTGGATGAATTTTAAATATTTCCTTTATTTAGGCTTGTGTGAGGCTCTGAGACACTAAGTCTTCTAGTGGAGTCACAATTTCTCCTGTGACTTTTCCCTGTGACTGAATGATTGGGATCCATGTGTCAGTGAGTGAGTGTATGCATGAGTGAAAGCTTCAGTTGCTGTATTATTGAACATCTGAAACTCTATTAGCTGTGTGTCCAAAGGCAGGCAAGCGGTTTGAATTAGCCAGCTGCTCTGCAGGAGAAAGATGAACAATTTCCTCCCTTCTATTTACAATCTCTGAAAACCTGCCTGAAAGTCAACTATGAGTCAATTCCAACTCAACAGCAATGAGCCATGGTATTTTCAATTGCTTCATATGCATCTGAAAAGAAGACCAAAGAAGAACTGATGTTTTTAAAGTAGGTGTTGGAGAGGAGTATTATATATCCCATGTACTGCTAAATGAATAAGCAAATCTGTTTCAGAGGAAGTGCAACCATGGTGGTCCTTACAGGCAAGTCAAGCTCATTGTTGTCAAGTTATAGCTGATCTTTTTTTATTTTTTAATTGGTTTGTTTACAAAGTTCATATGTTGTTGTTGTTATGTGCCGTCGAGTCGTTTCCGACTCATAGCGACCCTATGCACAACAGCCCTAAACCCTGCTCTATCCTGCACCAACCGCACCACCTCTGACACACCCATCCCGATTACCCCAGTCACCGAATCAATCCATCTCATAGAGGGTCTTCCCCT